CGGTATCTTATATCTTAGAATTTGAAACATTTTGGTTTTTTTTTGTTAATTGATTTTGAATTTTTTTCACTTTTCTGAGATTTCGCGGATTTTCAGAACTCACCGTAAACACACTAATAGAACGCCACCTGAATCGTCAAATTTGAGCCCATTTATCTCATTTTCTGTGAGAGATACCAAAAAGTGGTTCACTGATAAAATGTTGCTGATATCATGATAAACATTTTGTTAGTTAAAAACTTTTTGATATCTTTTAGAAGAAGTGAGATAAATAGGGTCAAAGTGGACGGTCCGGGTGGCGTTCTATTAGAGTGTTTACGGTATGTTTTTTTTTTTTGAAGTATGAAATTGCCAATTTTCTCGGTTTTCTTTTGATTTTTTTTATTTATACAATCCTCGAGATTTTGAATTTTTCCGTTTCTTATTTTATTTGGAATTTTTTTTAGAATCCCTAAAAACTATACACCTCATTCATCCCCCGAAAATCTCTGGTTTCTCAAATGATGTAATCCTTTAGATAATCTTTCGAGATCTCAAAAGATTATCTAAATATATATTTCGGGAAACATACATAACCGGGTAGGTGGTCTGTGAAAAAACGTTTTCTAGCAGAAAATATGCAAACTACAAAAAAAATAGTGGCAGGTGAAAAAAAAAGATACGTGTGACTTTCTAAATAATTAATTAAACTGATCCAATTAGATTGATGATTTTAGTTTACTTGGATAGAGCTGATGAGCGCTAATTAAATTCTTTCATACAATTTTATTCAAACAAGATAATGTGGTAAATATTAGCCATATCCAGTCAAGATTGTATCTTTGGGATTTTTTTTTGAAATTTCTGGAAAAAAATTGGTTAGCCACATTTTCAGACACCTCAAAAATAAGTCCCAACTTTTTAGTCGGAATTCCAGATATTTTAAATTCAAATCGGACATTTAAAAATAGTCAAATAAGGGAAATTTTCGATACAAAGACACCTAACCAAAAAATTGCCATTCGTTCTCTTTCTTCTACTTTTTGCACATTTTGGAGTCTCCATTTCTCCATGACAACCAAATGAAAACGTCCCCGCCGTCCGTGTCTTTGACCAAAGAGCATATTCATATGGAAACCCCAACACTCGAGACTAGTACGAACACTGGTTGAATGGTCAGACATACACACTTTGTAATAAACAATTAATTATATGTATACGAATCATGTATTCACGTTTACAGGGATCAAAACGTTCAATAATGTAAGACTTTATTATGCCATACAAGTTATAAATTGCACAAAAAACATTTTTTGAATTAATTTCAGAACAACATTTCAACACAGGTCCTGGGCGCGCATACGCATAATGGATGGGCGACGGAGGACGCGCCGATGAATTGGGTACAGGGAAAGGACGCCGGTAGGGGGCATATACGGGGCATGTGGGGCACACCGCTACCGCATTTTTTTTTCATTTGTTCAAAAAATGTCTCACTTTCACTTTTTTGAAATTACATGAAAAATTGAAAAATTTTATAATTTACACTTTGTAATTATTGTATACTTACCAACTTACCTTTTACTCCACCTGAAAATACGATTTTTACAATAATTACAAAGTGAAATCAAAAAATCTCAATATCACCTATTTTGGCGAAAAACATAGCAATTGACGAGTGAAAGACATGTTTCTGCAAGAATTCAGCGATTTTTTATTCTGCCATAACTCTTTTTCACAAAAAACATCGAAGGAATAATCGAAAAACCAGAAATGTAGGCTCGAATTGACGAAAAATTGACAAAGTTGCCGGTGTGGATTTACGGTAAACAATGGGCGCATCCGGGATTTCGGAGTGTTGTAGTCTGCCTACCGTATCAGACCCATATCGCACACATCGCCCACCCACCTAGAATCCATCTAGGATACGCGCGCATTCGTAACACTCGATTCAGCCTCTTCCGCATCGCACACATGTGAGACTCATCGCAGCTCGTTGTTCGCGATATGTGTCAAACGGACTTCTAGAGGATCGCATATGGATCGGGTCCTTTATGCGCATCATCGCCCAGGACCTGTGAACATCTAATAATCCGCGCTCATGAAGTTGATTTCATCATGACTGATACTATCTGCCCCTACCCAAGCCACGTACGGGTCATTTCTTGTAATCCTGGCTCTGGGTGCACCCGAACTCGCGGCTTGCGGCGCGCTGACCACCAGTGTAGACCACAAGGCCACGCGTGCAACAGAAGAGAAAGGGAAAGGAGTGCGAATACAAACGAGCGGATGGTGGAGAGGCGAGGTGGAAATAGGGGGAAGGGAGAGAGAAACTAAATCCTGACTTTGAACTGATTCCATTAATTTTTTGACTCTTGACCACTCTCATCATTACGTTCAGTGTCTGATTACCTTCCCTCTCTCCTCCTTTCTTTTTGTCAACCTATCTGCGTCTCTTCTTATCTTATCTCGTGACGCAATTTTCTTTTTGCCGATAGACCAGAAACATTTTATTCTATACGGAAAAAAACGATGAATTCTGAAGCTTTGATTTGCGAAATTTGCGGACAGGAAGCGCGCGGAAGTCACTATGGAGCGGTGGCCTGTAGAGCTTGTGCGGCATTTTTCAGGTTAGTGATGGCCTAGGTTTTTCTAGGCCATGTCCGTTTTTAATGGGTCTTCTTAATAGAATTTTTCATCAAATTTCGGAATATCTGAAATTCTGAAATTCTGAAATTCTGAAATTCTGAAATTCTGAAATTCTGAAATTCTGAAATTCTGAAATTCTGAAATTCTGAAATTCTGAAATTCTGAAATTCTGAAATTCTGAAATTCTGAAATTCTGAAATTTTGAAATTCTGAAATTCTGAAATTCTGAAATTCTGAAATTCTGAAATTCTGAAATTCTGAAATTCTGAAATTTTGAAATTCTGAAATTCTGAAATTATGAAATTCTGAAATTTTGAATTTCGAAGATCCCAAAGTTTACAGAATTTTCAAAGCCCCGGCCACTTTTCCAGACGCACTGGAACCTCAAAACACATCAAACCTTGCTCTCGAAAGAAGCAATGCAAGTTTTTCAAAAACGGATTTTTCACTTGTAAATTTTGTCGACTTCAAAAATGTTTCACAGTCGGAATGAGCTCGGAAAGTAGGTCAAATTTTTGAGCGGCAAATTTGAATTTTTTATAAATTTTCAGCTTTCCAATTTGATCGAGATGCGTATAAAGTGAGAGAAATGGTTCAATTGGATAGAAGAATTCCAATGGTGGGGTTTGAAAAAAATTCAACAATTTTTTAATTGAGAATCGAGTAATTTTTGTGTCCCGGCTTACGAAGATCTCATGGTTTTCTGTGTTGATAGTTTGACAGACAGATTTTTAAGACAAGATCACTTTATTCAATAACTATTACATGAAAAATACAGTTACGAGTAATGCAATGAGGAGAGACGAATGATTTGATCCGTTGTCTTCTTCTTTTACTTCCGATTTTTCCCTTTGAACTCTACTTTTGCACAATCCACTATCGGTTTTTCCGTGTGGACAAGCACTTCCTGGCGGTCCATACTTGAAATCAGATTCATAAGGGTTATTTCTGGAAAAAGAAGGAATATAAAAATAATTCTTCAATGTGTACTTACTTCGGCCCTACAGCACACATTAAAAAAATATCGCAATCATTTTTCTGGTAACAACCAAATTTCGTTTCCACTGGGTGAAAGAAAGAAGCGGATTTTTCTAGTAGCTCTTGCGTGACCTGTTACAAATAAATTTTTAAAAAATTTGAAGGCTTCACGCGAAACAAACGATTCAAGGCATAGCGATTAATGTAGGAAATTGGTGTCCTAGTTTTATCTGATTCGCTGAAAAAACCAAAATTCAAAAGGTTCAAAAGAAGTTAATTTGTTAGTGAACCGACATCGTTGAGGTTTTGATAGTCTAGGCATCACTTTTCTCCATACTTGTAAAATTCCGGGCCGGGCCTGAGGAATTTTTCAAGGCCCGGCAGGCCCGGTGTCAAAAATTCTGTATTTTTGAGCCAAATTTTGAGCTCTCAATATAATTTTTTCCATTTTTTTTTGTATTTCGGATTGTTTGTCTGTCTGATCAAAAAAGATCGAAAAACTCGAAAAAAAAATTTTTGGTCGAAAAAAATCACATAAGGGTCCCCCCTTATGTGT